GGAAGGAAGGAAGTAGAAGAAAATAGAAAGAAAGAAAGAAAAAAGAAAGAAAGAGAGAAAAGGGAAGGAAGGAAGGAAAAGATTGAGTGTCTCCTTTTTCTAAATCATGTTTTCCTTAACCAATTTCTCTCCTTGCAGATTACAAAAACAATATCCTGAAGGAGAAAGCTGAACAAAATAGGATTCTCCCTGCTAAGAATATTGACTTAGATAAAGGTAAGTGGGCAGCAAGAATAGATGGTGATTCTCCCCGCCCCTGCCCCATTTCAATGTCCCGTTGTTTCACTTCTGAGAAAATGTGTGTCACCCTCCTTGTTAGCAAAGAGAGAGGGATATTTGGAAACTGCTTGATGAAACACAGCCTTGCAGAGTTGGTCCTTCCCTGGAGTCTTTCATTAGCTCACACCACAACTGACTGCCAAGGGGCTTACTACAAGCCGTTCTCTGTGCGTGAGTCACCCTTTCCCTCCAGAAAAGGCCGATGGGACAGGATTTCAATGTGCCAACATTATCTTTCGGGGACCAGAGCTGTGCCTGTTTGCTTCAGGCCCAAGAATCTTTCTGCTGCTTTACAATCTCTTTTGCCATACCAGAACTCACACCCTAATTTTCAAATGCAGATTGCATTCTAAGCAAATCCATACTTCGGCCTTTAATATATAAAACTACTCTTTGTTGTGCCAAAGAAGCATATAGATTACCAATTCTAGGATAGTCCAAAACTTTAATATATTGTTTTTTAATATGTACTTCCTGGAGGCAAATTATATCTGATTTTAATTTTTCTAGTCTATTAAAAGTCTGTTTCCTTTTAATTGCCAGATTCAAGCCATTTATATTTATTGACACTAATTTTTTCTCTTCTTCCATGGTTTCATTTATAAGTAGGGTTTATTGCTCTTGTCGTTCTGAGTCCTCTTTCTTCTTTTGGTTCTACTCTTCCTCCTATCGCTCCTTCCTCTCGCACCCTCTCCTCTCTCTTTTCTTATCTCTCTCTCTTTTTTCCGCAAGTCCAGTATATTAATGGCCAGATGTCATCTGTTCCTATTCTTAAGATTGTGCAGTAATTCACTACATGTTTCTCCACCGCCTTTGCTTTTTCTTGTTCTTTTCACTTGAGAATGCAGCACGCCTCATAACGTGGAACCAAGTTCCCCTAAGCACTTAACATCAGGGGTGGGATCCGACTGGTGTAACTACCGGTTCGGTGATTTCACATGTTGTGCGCGCGTGTATATCGTCATCTAGCTGCCTGGACAGCTGCGCGTGGGTGCGCAGCGGTTGAAAAAGCACTTTTTTCCTGCTTTTTCAACCACAGCTGTCTCGCACAAAGCGGCTGCGGTTGAAAATAAAGGTCAGGTAAGAGCCCGGGCAGGCGGGTGGGCCAAAACAGCAGCAGACATAGAACCAGTTCTATGTATGCTCTCTGCTGCTTTTCAGAGCAACCGGTTCTACAGAAGTAGACAGAACCGGTAGAATCCCACCCCTGCTTAACATCTGACATCCTGACATATCTGGCAAGCAAACTGTGTGTCCTTTCATGGCTTTTAATTTGGTCTTGTGAACCTCCATCCAGCTGGGGTTTTAAATTAAAAATAACATACTAGATTCTATACAATGCTTTGCCTGTCATTTTTCAAAAAGTAGTCAGAGAAAGTAGTGAATTAATAGCACCTAAACATATGGAATTCTTGCTCAAAATTCTGCCTTGCCTAAAGTTTAACCCACCACTAATTCTAGATTTCTTCTCTTTTTTTTTTCAGAATTCGGGAAAGAAAATTATAAATGAAAACAGCAACTCAAAGCTACTGGCTGGACCAGAAGCTCCCTTAAGAATTTAAAAGTACAAGAGAACTTTGTTTTCTTTTTTAAAAAACGTCATCCTTCCAGTTACCAAGAAGTTTCTGTAGACTTTTTTTCCAACTTTGGGCCTATGAAAGCATACAAGACACGTAAGCTGTAAATCCTATGCACGCTCATTTCATAAGGTTTACTACCAGGTAAACAAGTATAGGGCTGCCCTGTAAAACTTCCTCTTTATTATCTATATATATATATGATTTTTTTAAAGGGAGGGTGCAGGTCAGCTTCTTTGTTCTTTTATCTTGTGAGATTGCTTACATTCCCCCTCCCTCCAGGGATTTTATCCCTTTAAATAGTTTTATTTCAGTTGTATTGGTTATTTGAGATTTTTTTAAATTGCTTAAAAATAATAAGCTGAAAAATTAGATGCTTGGCTTGCTGTTAAACACAGAACAGAGAGCATTTTTTTTTTCCCCTGGCACTGTCATTTAAAATATGCTGTTAGGAAAGCAAGAAAGAGGGGCCCTTTCTCCACTACTGAGTTAATGTGCTATCCATGTCTCCTTGAATCAGGAGAAAACAATATTTTCCTTATTGGCTACCCCCATTGCCAATTCTTCTCCAGTTTCTCTTGCCTCTGTTCTTAGTTGTTGCCTTCCAAGATAACGAGGAACAAAAAACCCCTAACAGATTTTTATACTCTGTGAGACTCTGCCATTTGATGATGCCAAAATAAGGAAGGAAGAACTGCATTAATAAAAATCTTACGATGAAGGACAGCTAAGCTGATGAAGGCAGCTCCGAGAGTCAGGGAGGAGGAAATTGCCATTGTCAAGGAATCATTATGTCATGATAAAAACAAGCGATGAAAGGCCCGAAAAGAAAAGAGACCAACAATCACAACATGGACCAGGGTCTTAGTTGTGGGGACACGTCGACGTTTGTATCCTGCAGAACTCTTCATCGGAAGCCTGCATCCTATATTTTTTTTCATCAAAAGGTTTGAGTCAGGAGTCCAAACCCACTCGCTTTTCTCTTGGTAGTAGAGTCTGCTTAAGAGGTATATCTGGGCCAGTCCCTGGAGTCTGAACCAGCCATAAAATGAATTAGATGAACCTGTCAGTCTGGGATCGTTGGAATAACAAAAATGTCCTCCGTTGGATCTAAAGTTTCTATCTATGCTGCTTCTTCCAAGCCTTCCTCACTCCTGTTTGTTTGAATCCCCCGTTAAGAATTTGTCCCTGCTCTTCCCAGTATTTGGCTCAGAAGCAACAGGGATTTTAAAAAAGAGCCATTCTTGGAAGTCTTCCTTTGGGAGCCCACTGCAACTCGGTGATGGGTCTCTTCCTTCCCGTTTTCTCTTGCCTCATGTGATTATGACAGATAATCACCCGTCTCCTGCTGCACAAAGGAGACAAAATGTAGGATCCCGTGGTTGGTTGCGATCCTTGGACATTGCAGGACGCGGAATGACAGGCTGTATATACTGACTGAGTACAAGAACCTATAAGATCTCCCAGGTGAAGGGGTGTCTTCCAACAGAAGGGGGATCCCTTGATTCTGAATTTCTATCACTTAGCTGGAGAATGGAATAACTGACCTCTGGTGTCCCTCCAACTCAAGATTCTTCATATGTATACACAGTGGTGGAAACGTATTCACTCCCCTGTATTTAACCTCTACTGAATTGAGGGAAAGGACATAGCTTTTGAGGGAGGGAGTTGAGCTACTCAGAGTAAACAGAGTGCAGAAAACCCATTAAACAGGCTATTAGCAAAAAAAAAAAGGGGGGGGGGGAGACTGGCTTTGATCAATATGTGTGCCTGGAATATTTCTCCCTAAAATCACTTTTGCAGTTAGAAGGCTCGCTGAGAAGAACTCTTTAAAGAGGTATTGCTAATGACGACTACCTGATCTGGCTAATAAAATGCTAAATAAACTCACTGATGTTTGGACAAGAGGTTTTTTTTTTTGGTTTGTTTGCTTTTGCGTTGCTGGGTGTTTAGCAGAGGAGAGAGTGTTTTGTGTGCCTCTTGCGCTTGTTACGGCTTGCTTCGAAGCATCTCCTGCTGTCCAAAATATGAAATGGGGTCACTTGGCCATCCGATCTTTCTGCCACGTTAATATTTTTCTTTCCACTCAGCTTGGCTTCAATACTGCTTGAAGGAGAAAAGGTGGGGGCAAAAAAAGAAGAAGAAGAAAAGGATTGCTGTCATTTCTGCATGAAATTTAGATACTTCTTTTTAAAAAGTGGTAGCCTCTTCTCTACCAATACATTTTTGTGTTCTTCCTCTGATTTTCTGCCAAGTAAAATGACTTAGTAACTTTTTCTAGGATTCTGGACAACACTTAAACATACTGTTGATATTAACGGGGAAATGACCCTGAAGTCACAATTTGAGAAACTCCAAAATGTTTCAGTGCATAGTGCTGGTTAACTCCTTTGCCCAGATTCAATTAAGTAGTTTTCAGCAGGTTTCAGATTAACAAAATGAAGTTGACCTATTATACAGAATTGTTGCTTCAGTGATTCAACAGAATGATAACAGCCCAAAAAGTTTTTTCATTAAGAATCAGCTCATAAAGTAAAGTTCTTTGAATGTTCCGAGGAAAAGCTGTAAAAAATTACAGTGAAATGGAGTGATTAGCTGCTGAGATTAAAACTTGTCAGCCTTCAAAATACGAGCTTTACAAACTGCCATTTCTCTAGCAAGCCTATGGAATTCTTGCTTGCAAAAATGTATTGGATATATGTGATATGCCAGCTCCAAGGCAAAATGACCCATTATGCTTAGTTTGCCAACCATTTATTTTTGTTTTTGTTTTTACACCTGGAGAATGTTTATTGCTAACCTGTAGAGGGAAGACTTCCAAATTTTTGCATGCTTACTTTAAACCAAATCCAAGTAACAATGAACAAATGAAACAGCAATAGCACTTAGACTTATATACCACTTTATAGTGCTTTACAGACCTCTCTAAGCGATTTACAGAGCCAGCCTCTTGCCCCCCAACAATTTGGGTCCTCATTTTACCCACCTCGGAAGGATGGAAGGGTGAATCAACCTTCAGCCTGGTGAGATTTGAACTGCCAAATTGCAAGCAACTGGCTGCAGCAGAAGGAGCTTGCGGTACTGCATTCTAACCACTGCGCCACCAAGGCTTTATACTATACTACATTTATCAAAATGGAGATGTGATTTTTGGAAATGGGAAAGAAACAATTTCTCTCCTGCCATTTACTTTAAGGAAATGTGATATTGTACAACTTACACATTCAACTATTTAGAAGGAATAATTTTTAAAGCAGAGGGAAGGAAAGGAAGGAAGGAAGGAAGGAAGGAAGGAAGGAAGGAAGGAAGGAAGGAAAGGAAGGAAGGAAGGAAGGAAGGAAGGAAAAAAAGGACAGCTTTATTTTATTACATCCTTCGGGAACTCTGAAGTCTGTATTCCCTTATTGTGCATTTGCAGCCAAGAGAACATTCTTTCATGACACACACGCACACTACAGTTGGTTGAGAGTTGCCGTGGGAACAAAACTTGAGCGTTGCAGCCTGCTCCAGAGCAGATACCAGTCCTTTTGGAAGGTCTCACTTACCTTGATCGTCCAGCATTGAGGGGGTGAAATGCCAAGTTTGACTTCTGCATAGACTGTTTAGGAAAAAAGTACCCATGAAATGGCCTTGGAAAGTTCATTGGGGTGAATAGCTTCTTTCTCCTGCTCTTCTGACTCGGTTTGAGTCTGGGGTCAAATCCAGTAAAGGGAGCAAGAGTGTTGAGATGACCTGGGGTGTGACACAAAAATAACCAAGTCACAAAAATAGAATAAAGTTCCTTTAATGCCTCCAACTTGGTCCCAATGTCCAATTATCCTCGGTTGGAAATCAAGCTCTTAAAGAAAACAGTTTATGAAGGGAGTAAATGCAGTCTGCGCTCAAAGTAAAGTTAATACGAATTAAAAAATCCAAACACAAACCACACTGAAGGAATTACTACTGCAGGCACGGATGATTAGTTGCAGACTTCTACCAGATAACACAGCCACCCCAGTTGGGAGGAAGCCAAAACACAGATAAGCTCAGACTAGAATAAAACACCTGTTACTTCCAGCACTGGGCCATGCTTAGTTTGTCCTTTTAAACAGTCCTCACAGCTGCAGCCCATGAAGGGGATCAGGGCCCTTTCCTCCCCTGTAAACCATGCAGTTCCCATTGCTCCCCTATCGGTTCCTCCCTGCGTGCCCTAGGATGAAGAGGGGGTGAGGCCTGGGTTTTCCTCTGAATGCCCATCTGGCCTGTGCCCTTCCCCAGTTTCCTCCACAACCTTCAAGCCACACTTGAAGGTTGTTCCTCCGCTCCCAAGAGACTCCAACAGGGGCATGACAAGTGTTTGGAAGCCCTGTGATGTGAAAGGGGGCAGCATTAGTAGCAGCAATTGGCGAGACAGTTCCGCATTGGTTGAAAGTGCCATAAATACCCTGCACTTCTTTTGTTTAGCCAACACAGTGAATCGACACCTAGCAGGAACATGGCCTGCTCGGTGATGGCATCTCTGTTCTGCCATGGTCTTCCCAGAGGGGATGGTGGTTATATTGCAAAAATCATGAGGGAAGCGGTGAACGTCAGTCCGCCTTTCTTTCAAACCGCCTGCATTTTCAGCAAAATAAAATTTCAACTGGCCTTATGTCCCTGTACTTAAGTCATTTAAAGCAGTGATCCCCAACCTTTTTGACGCCGCGGCCCGGTACCGGCATCAGCTGGGTGCCGCGGCCCGGTACCGGCATCAACTGGGCGTCGCCATCTTTTTTTGACGAAAAAGTGCTTCCGGTGAGCTTTCTACCCGGAAAAGCTCACCGGAAGCACTTTTTTAGCAAAAAAAGATGGCGGCGCCCAGCAACCAGCGGCCCGGTACGACTTGTTCTGGGGACCGGTCCCGGTCCGTGGACCGGCGGTTGGGGACCCCTGATTTAAAGCATTCTGCAATTTATTTTTATTTTTTTTCAGTTGGGTTTGTGCTGGGTTTTCCAAATGGTTTTGATTACCTTGTGACATTTGTGATTCTTGCTTCTGCATTATAAGATATCCAGAGAACTTGACTCGCTAGGCAGCGATATACCTAAAAGTAATTTTTAAAAAATCAGCGAGAGACTGTGACAGCTATAACTTGTAAAGCAATGCAAATATCATTTAATAAGCAATCTTAACGTCATTGCTAGCACTCTCCGCTTTCTCATTCCGCTGGTTTCACAGAAGTAACAAAATCAACTTGTTCCCAGCAATTTCATACACACTTTTGTGTCATTTTCTTTCTGTTTATCTGTTGTACTAACTAGAGAACTAGTTTGGTTCTATGGGTTTGCTTCCCCCTTGTGGCCATTTCTCTTACTACAAGCTTTCTGAACCGGATTTCAAAGCAAAGGAGGGATTGAGGGGGCTTAACCATAGTTTACTAATTGGCCGTGGGTGCTGAGTTTGCTCCAGATCTTGAAAAAGAGGCACCCTGGTTTCCACACAGCAGCAGCGCTTGGCTTCATACCACACGTTAAACCAGAGGCTTTGAGTGCCATGTGTGAATCCAGCTATGGTGCCAGGTGTGCAGCCAACCATAGGGAAAGCAAATAGACCCAGGGCCCCCTTGGTGCTCCAAGTGGTTTGGCGGTTTTCTTGCAGACGTCTCATGACTCAGCTAGGCAACCTCATCAGTGTGAAGAGGGAGCAGGGGTTTGCTCTTGGGGAAACCTTTGTAGGTGTGGAGAATCTGGAAATTCAATGAACCGCTGGAGGCAGAATGTTCTGGGATTTTTATTCAGCATCTGGTTACCCAACTGGAGGAAACAGACTTGGTTTCAGCCGCCACCGACTGATTGGCTGTGGCTCCTTTGTGTCCAGGCAGCCCCTCTGGAAACAGACCGGGATCCGGAGGCATCCAGGATGGAAAGGAAACGTGGTTTCCTTTCATTTAGCTGCTTTTCTGACAGTGAGAACAACCAACCGATGGAACGGAAGTTGCCCTCGGAAGTTGTGGGAGCGCCATCACTTGAGACCTTCAAAAGGAGATTGGACTTCCGTCTGTCAGAAACGGTGTAGGGGTCTCCCGCTTGGGCAGGAGGGGGTTGGACTAGATGACCTACAAGGTCCCTTCCAACTCTGATGATCTGTTATCTGTTCCCGATTGTTTGCTTGAAGATCTGGGGAAGATCCAGGGTATTAGATATAGGAGTTAGTTCGCCTCCCAGCCCCTAGTTCGCCTCCCACCCCAACCCCTGGGGGACAATGGGATTTGTAGTCCACCGCATCCACAGTGGGCTTCTCCGCCCTGCTTGTCTTGGTAGGTCTCCCCAAAAACAAGGCACCCTTCCTGGGAGCTCCTATCCCACTAAGGGAAAGGGGTGTGTGTGTGTAGGCAACACCTGACCTCCGAGGAGCGATTCCATTGGGCGGCTCTGCAGAGGAGGAGGAGGGGGCTGATCTCCTGCTCTCTGAAGGCGGCCCCCCTCCCGTGCACGCCTCAATCGGAAAGTGGGCTGGGTGGGTGAGTGGGAGTCAACCCCCCCCTCTCCTCTCAACCTCGCCTGGGTCCCTTGGAGTCGCGATCCCGCGCGTGCGTAGTGCCGCGGAGCCTTTTTTTGCCCAGAAGAGACCGGGGAAGGGGGGGGGGGGGAAACGTTCGCCCCCTTGCAAAAAAAAAAAAAAAAAAAACCCGAATAAAATTGGGTCCCTTTAAACTGGGTGGGCGGAGAGGAGACTGTCAAGGAGAAAGGAGGGTCTTTGGAAGGAGAGCCAGCCAGCCAGCCAAGCGTTGCTTGGTTTTGCTCGCCTTGTTCTGCTCTATCCATTCAGCTTCGGGTGGGAGGGGGTTACCTTTCTTCCCCCACCCCCCACCCCTCATTGCCACAACCCTCCCAATCCAAGCCGGCCTTGCTCTTTTTATTATTATTATTATTGCAATATTGCTTCGCTTGTAAAGGGGGAAAACCAACCGAGGGAAGAGAAATTGCAGCTGCTTGCGCGGCTAGCTGCGTTATTTTCATTTTCATTTCCTTTTTTTTTTTTTAAAGTCCACCTTTTCTCTCTCTTTCTCTGCCGCTTCCCGAGAGTCTTTTGGGGGGGTACAATTTTAATGGGGCCGCTGCCGCCTCCCTGAGAGAGGGGAGAATGCTTTGCGGGGAGGCCTGGCCGAGCCCCCCTTCTCCTCCTTCAGCCGCTGGAGGGCGGTATGGAGCGCCCCAATCCTTCCGCGCAGGCTTTGCTACTGTAGCAGTCAGGCATTTTCCCTTCCTGTTTGGAGACCAACCTTGCCTTGTTTAAAAAAAAAAAAAAAAACACACCTAGAAGACTCCGAGGGACTGGCACCTTGAACTTGGCCTTGATTTATTTCCCTCGCCCCTCCTTTCCTCTCCCTTTTTCACCCCCCTTCCTCGAGCCTTTTCACCCCATTCCGCTCCTCTCTTTCACCAAACCTCTCCCTTTCTCCTTCTCCTTTTCTCCTTCCCCCTCTTCCCCGCTCTCCCTTCCTCCCCTTTTTCCACCCCCACCCTCCATCCTTTCCTTCTTCCATGGCGGAGACAAAAATAATTTACCATATCGATGAAGAAGAGACCCCTTATTTGGTGAAATTGCCCGTTTCTCCGGAAAAAGTCACTTTGGCGGATTTTAAAAATGTCCTCAGTAACCGGCCGGTGCATAGCTACAAATTCTTCTTCAAGTCGATGGACCAGGATTTTGGGTAAGTTGGGGTTTGCCTTGTTTTTTTTTTTTTTAAATTATTATTATTATTATAAGGTTTTTCCTGAGGTTGGGCAGTCCTGTAACTGTCCTGATTTTGCTGGCATTTGAGAACAGCTGGCATTCCCTGCCTGCCTTTTGAACAAGGCTTTCTTGAACATTTTAGGGGTGGGAGGGAAATCTGCTTAGTTTTATGGAGATTCCTTGCCATGCACCTGTTTATGGGGTAGACCAAATTATATGCTTGCTCGGAACCTGTGTGTAATTCTTTCCTGTCTTGGAAAAAATGATCTGTGCACCAAATGTCATGTTTTATAGAGAGCTTTGTGTGTGTGTGTGTGTGCGTGCTCCTGGTCGATAAACAGGTCCCAGCTAAACTGGGATATGTGAAGATCTGGGATCAGATTTAAGGTCTTCTTTATGTTTCTACCTAAGCTGTCAAGAGTCCTTTGATGGTAGCCGGATAGAAATGTGATAAAACACGTGGAAAGAAAAATACGTTGAGACACCACACTGGCAAAGGTGGGCATGTTCAGACAGCAAGGGCAGAAATATGAAATCTAAAGAGGTGGAGCTTAGATATTCTGAAGTAGGAGGCCCTGGACAGAAACTGGAGCAATGGGTGACACTGATGGCCTAGAATTATGACAGTTTTCGGAGGCGATTCTGTAACTGCTGGGGTGTGGGGTGTCCCTTTATTCCACCTCCCGCCAAAGCAGTCTGAAGTTTTGCTCTTCAAATGCCAGGTAGGCAGCAGTGGGCAGGACTAGCTTTTCTGCTGCCAAGTTGCTGTTTCTGGGTTGCCAGTTGGGCCTATTGGACTGATTGATTTGCTCTTGCGATAAAGAAAGACTTGACACTCACTGGGGAGATGTTTAGGTCCCACTGATATTTTTTTTTTCCTAGATGGGGGGGAGAGAGAGAATGACACTGTACTACCCATCATGTTCCTTTTCTTTCTTGAAAAAGCAAAACCATTATGTTTCGGCTGGAGGCTGGTTTTGTCTTTCTGCCTGGGCGATGCCATCTAAGCAGGGACAAGAAATAAACTTAGGTTCCTAAAGAGAATTGGAGTCTGTGTGGATCGTCTCGATTATCCGCTTCCAAGGTGTGAGGTTTCGGTGTTGGCATGTTTTATATTAAAAAATGGTGGTGCCTGTTTTGGCTTCAGCGGCTTGGATATGTCTTCATAGATCTATAAAAAGGGGTCGCCAACCTTTGGACCTCAGGGACCGCTAAACTCATAATTTTAAATCCCGCGGATCAGAGGCCCTGGGAAAATCCCCCAAAATGTCTGCTGGAAAATTCCCCATCCCATTTTCCTACCTATCGATCATTCTTTACTTGGGATCGCAGGATACCATCTCCAGCTCCGTTCTCAAAGAGGGGGGGGAGAGAGACTTTTGGCTTCATGCAAGGAAAGCAGCAGAAGCAGCAGAAGTCTTTCTTTCTCTCCCCCAAACTCTGCCAGAAATGAGTCTTTGTGAGGCTTGTCCCACTGGCACAGCCTCTTGGAGCAGGAGGCCTTGCAGGGTCCCAAAGACTCATTTCTGGCGGAGTTTGGGCGAGAGAAAGAAAGACTTTTGCTGCTTTCCTTGCGTGCAGCCAAAAGCAGAAGTGGAAAGAAGCAGCCCGGTGGCCAGGCCAGGCACGTGGGGCGAGTGGGGCAAGTTCCCCGCTCCGCCCTTTCCCCCCTCCCCTCACTATCTCATGTTATTCACAATGTAAGCGACGCAAGCCTTGTGTTCCCACGAGCCATGTGGGTGGCGCAGCCTTGTGTTCCCACGCAGCCTGGATTAATTGCTTTTGGGGGGGGACGACACATTTCTTTGCGGACCACCAAAATTTTCTCGCGGACCACCAGTGGTCCCCAGCCCACTGGTTGGTGACTACTGATCTATATGGCATTAATAGTGTAGGAGTACTGTGGTTAAAAGGTTGGACCTTTTTTATTTGTTGTGGGCTGAAGACGACAATAGCTGAAAACGTCAGAGCAATTTTCTGGGGCTACAAAGCGTTCTTATTCAGGCCGTTGATAAGGCGGCCGAGGCACTGAGATTTCTACTGAGTGATAATTGTGTTTCCAGAAGGCTTTTATTTAAGAGTCAAGACAGGCTTGCAAAATTATACCCTAAACAAAAATAGTCAAATGTAATAGTATAAAGGGGAGAGGAAAACCCCAAGAAGGGCTGTGTCTCTTTAATAAAAGAAGCAAAGGGGGGGGGGGAGAAAAGGCTGTGCCTTAATGCGATTTTGACATTAACAACACCATGCCTGTAAATACCAGTTGCAGGAGAACAATAGTGGGAGAGGGTGGGATGTCTCTGACTCCCCACTTGCCAGCACCCCAAAATGATATGGTTGGATGTAGTGAAAAACAGGAACTGCTGGACTAAATGAACTTTGGCCTGATCTCACAGAGCTGATCTTGGGATGGTTAGGAATAAAACGGAACATTTCACTTCCAAAAGTTTACTCTTGAGTGGCCTGTGCTGTGGCTTTTGCTACTGTTTATTGTGCAGGATGGCTAAGAGGCTTAGATCACCAAGCTATATACGGTACTGACGAAAAGGCTTTGCCAAGCTCAAAAGATTGCCAAACAATCTTTGTCAACTGCCCAGCAGCAAAGGAGGAGAATTTCTGTGGTTGGACGTAATATCCATTGTATAGAGACAGGTGGTTCTTGACTTAAGACCCACAATTAAGTCCCAAATTTGTTGCTAAGCAAAACATCTCTGAAGTGAGTTTTATCCCATTTTACAACCTTTCTTGCCACAAAGGTGCTTTCTCCCCCCCCCCCCCTTCCAAAAGCAACTGGGCTGTTTGGTGAATCGCTGCAGTTGTGAGGTTAGCAACAGTCGTTAAGTGAATCTGGCTTCCCCACTGATTTTGGTTGTCAGAAGAAGAGCGCAAAACGATAATCACATGACCCCCAGGACTCTTACGACGATCGTAAATATGAGCCAGTTGCCAAGCGTTCGAATTTTGATCACATGACTATGGGGAACGATGCAACAATCATGAGTGTGAATACAGGGCATAAACTACTTTTTAAAGTGCCATTGTAACTTCAAACAGTCACTAAATGAATGTTTGTAACTCAAGGACTACCTATATATAGATATATAGGTACAAATTGAATACATGAACTACAATAGAATGAAGAGAAATTGAATGTACTCCTGCCATGCAAGGTTTAGGAGCTACCTCTAACATAAAATGCAAGTGGCAGGGTCTGTGGGAGTGGACACATTTCATTAAGCCATGGGTGGTTTAAGCATGGTGTTTTGAAAAACCACAATTGGCAAGTTTTGCCTATAAAATTAACACATCAATCATGGCTTAGAAACCACAGAGGCTGTATTCATACCCTGCACTCTGCCAAAATAAAACAAATCATGTCAATTCATGGGGTGTTGAATGTTAGCTTCATCTTATCTGTAGACCAGGCCACTGTGGTTTATTCAATGAATCACGGTTAAAGCCAATCACAGCTTCCTTTGTCCAGAGTCAAAATCATACCCAAGATATCTGCGACCATCCGATCTCTCTGTCTGAACTTAAAACTAATCCTTTGGATGGCCTGGCTCTTGGTTGAGGCTGCTGGGAACCGTAGTCTAAAATTCCTTTTTGTCTGCCCCTATTCTGACCAATTTGAGAGCCCAGAAAACAGAATAATAAACTTCATGTGAAACTAATCAGGTGTGTATACCCACTTTTACCAATCCGAGTATCAGCAGAGCCTGTGATGAAGACCTTAAATTTTAGCTTTTTATACTCAGACTGCTGAGTGTCTTAAGAAGAGTTAACTTTCTGCAACAGTTATGCATGAGAATCCCATCCTATAGTGGGAAAGTGTTGCCTTTATATAATTTATTTCCCTGTAGCTTTATTTCTAGTCTCATAACTCACCTTAACCTGGCTGATTATATCGTACGTTTGAAGATTCTCAAGTCATCCAGGTCTAAAGTCTAAAAGTTGAGTCATAGCAACTGAACTTATTTTTCTAGTTAGTTTGAGACATTTCACTGCTCATCCAAGCAGCAACATCAGTCAGAGCTAGTTAGGTAGTGTCACTGGAATGTACCAACTCTTCCTCCAGCAACCTCAGCAGTTTCTTCCTCAAATTGGGTGGTAATATGGCGATGAAGATGCAGCAAAATGTCTCAAACTAACAAAAAATAAAAACAAGTCCAGTTGCCGTCAATCTTCAGGCTACTTCTGAAATAAGTTTTTCCCCAACTGGATTTGGTCTGAATTTGTACCTTGGCGAGCGCACAAATATCTTTACCTATGTATCTGTCCCAGGTGATTAACACTCTAAATTTACACATGATATCCTGGTTCGAATGTTCACATTTTTTACATACAGTATTTTCAGTGTTCTACATTAGTGTTCAGTCTAGCTTGAAAAACTTTCAACACAACCTTACTTAATTGGCTTTTTTTTTTAAAAAAAATGGGTTGGACACAGTTATAAAGAAAATGTCTCTCAGTGGTTATTGACATTATTTGATGAAAGAGGGATTAGACATAGAAAATGGTTCCAGATGCGGGGGATAAACAAAAGATAGCTGTTAGTTTATTTTTAGTAATGAGTTTTCCAGAAGTAACTGCTGTCCCCTTTCCCAGTAAACTGGATCAAATTGTGCTTATTATATGTGAATAAAATGAACTATGAGTTGAAATATGAAGGTGCCTAATTTAAGTCCTTTAAGGTGGAGTCTTTTTTTTTTTATTTTGCCCCCTGGCTTTTCAATGTTTTGATCTGTTGGCATTTAACTGATTTGTTTTAAAAGAATCGTAACACCCACTTCTTTTATTACTGTCATGAATCAGCATTTGAAATGTAATAATTGCTTGGTAATAAAATCTGTTCCTTCTCTGTTGGATTTGTGGTACCTGAATCTATTTCTAGCTTGAGGAACTGGTGTTATGTATCACTTGCAAAGGTCAGAACCAAGGAAGGAAAGATTGTGGAAAAGCACCAATGGATTTTTT